AATAATAATTATATCTAATATTTGCTTAATATTTTGCCTAGTTAAAAATTCAAACAACGCATAATATAAATAATAAATATTCTTATTTTCCTAACTTTCAGAATCCCAGAACATTTGCTATGTTTTGGCTTGACGAAAGAATAGTCGGATATTAATTGTAATTGGAATGCATGAACTGATACTGAAATTGAAGATCGAGCCGATCGTTGATGAATTGAGTTTGTGATTTGATGTTGTTGTAGAACTGGCTATAAGCAGGATAGACAGAGCCCTGCCGCTGCGCAGATAGATACATACATATAGACAGATATATATGCATATATATCACCTAACAAACTAGCTAGCAATCGATGTAATTACCATTGTCATACGAGTTATCGAAATTCATTTCTTTTTTTTTTTTTTTTTTTGTATTTAGATGGTATCGAATTGCAATCAAATCATTTATCAAACTTATCGAGAGACCGTGTGAGTTCGCTAATTGGGTTTAGTTGTGGCAAGTTGGAATGTACCGGTACGGTACGGTACGGTACGGTATTGGGTACATAACAGATACCTCTCCATAACGCCGGTGCCGGCCATGGTAAAGTTATGTTAAATTATTGTAATTCTAATTAAGTTGTTGTGATTAGATTCGATTAGTACATATTCCAATATGTGGATGCTGTTGTTGCCTGGCATTGTTCTTACCATATGGAGTCTCTTTCTTCTCCATTTTGATTGTATTCTCCGGCGTTGGCAACGCTTCCGTTGGCACTGGTGTTGTCAGCAGCACAACCGTGCTGCAGTCCGGGCCGCCCCAGCCCATATCGCAGAAGCAGCGATTCACATTTGTGCAGAACTGTGGAGTGCAGTGAAGGGGGAGCAGGGGGAAATATGCGGTAGAAATATGTAAGTGGGGAGGCATTCAAGTGTCTTGCATGGCAGCAGTTCATTTTCTTTTTTTTTCTATTTTTTTTTTTTTTTATATATGTATATTTTCTTTTTTTTGCTTTTTGTTTTGTGTTCCAGTTTTTGAACTTACACCACGATCTGAGCACTCTTGACCCTGCTTGTTTGTTGGGCACTTGGTTTGATCCACATGCGGAAAGAGGCTGACGCACGTTTGATTCAGACAAATCAAATTTTCACCGCATGGCGTGCCATCCTTGACCAGCCCATGCTTCGGGTAGTTGTTGGAGCCCAATTGACCGCTGGTTGCCCTGCAAAATACACACACACACACATATATATACATACATATGCATAAGCCGTTGCGCGTCCATCGGTATAGTCAATATTGGCATTATTGCCTCCCGCCTTTCGCCACGCCCCACACACACACGCAGACTCAACACACACACACACCCACACACTAAACCGAACTGTTAGTTTCGCTACGCACTTGCATTCGTATTCCTGCGCCTTGATGGAGATAATCGTGCGCGAGTAGAGCTGGTCGAAGCCATCATTGACGGGCTGCCTCTCGCCCTCCTTGCACTGGAGCGTGCCGCACTGCACATTCCTGTTGTATAAATGAATAAATATTATTGATAAGCGAAACTATCCACGCGAATAGCAACACAAATTACGCCAATATCAAGCGCTTGATTGGATAAATCAAAAGTAATTGAAGTACAGCCGGCAAATTCCGTTTCAATTTGATAAATAATCGTTCAAGTTAACTTCATTAATGCATTTGTACAGTAATTCATTGCAATTTTGTATTTACTCATGCTGAATTCGAATATTTTTGTTAGTTTTACTTGCTGTTGGAAAAATTGAAAAGCAATTGAATAACAAATAGCAAAGAAAAAAAAAAAAGGCAACTCTCATAACTATTCAAGCAATATGTAAACTTTGAGCACTTCAGTTTGATAATTTGCAGTCAAATCAGATCTTGGGCATGCAAAATGAGTTAGTAAAGAGGCAAAGGAGAATTGCTGCGAGGCGTCGGCACTTACTCAGGATCGCATTTGATGTAGTGATCGTTGGCATCGCGTCCGCAGTGCCCGTTGATGGAGCCCTTCGAGTTGAACTGTTCGTAGCACTGCCGATCAGCCGCAAAGCCGCCGTAGCCCCAAATGGCCTCGCACTGCAGTGTCAGTGTGGGGCAGTAGCCCTGGAAGCAATAGCCTAACAGACGACCACAAAAAAGGAAACAAAAAGAAGAAAATATTTAAAGATACTACACAACCACATTCGCACTCATCGTCCTACCCGATACGCCCGATTTGCTCAGTCCACAGGGCGAGCCATTCTTCTTGTAGATATCCGCGGGACACTGTCCCATCTCGCCGTCGCAGTATTCGGGCAGATCGCACTCGTTGTGGGAGTCACGGCATATGTAGTCCTTGGGTCGCAGCTGGATGAAACGCAATTGTGTTAAAAATCAAAAGCAAACGCATTTTCCACTTTTCACATTCCACATTTCACATTTCACATTCCACATTTCACTGTTCACATTTCACTTACCCGGCATTGGTCACAGCAGGCACCGCTGGCGCACTGTGCCTCGGACTTGAGCTTACATGTGATGCTATCGCAGCAGGGATCCAATGCGCATTCCTCAAATGTGCCGCAGTCGCACTCCTCGTCCTCCTCGATGATTTTGTTGCCACAGTTTCGGCGCAACTCAATCTGCAAGTGATATGGATAGACATAAGTCAATTTCTGTTTTTCCACTGAACAACAAATTAGGTTTGCCATTTTTAATAAGAATTGTGTTTCGATTGATTTAGACTTGATTCAGGTTGGACAAAATTACGTAAGTTCTATAAATGTGTGCAAGATCTTTAACGGGGGATGCTTAAACCTTAAAGTACAATACATAGTTGATAGAGGGCAAAGAACAATGAGATTTCGCATCTCAGACTTTGTTAATATGTTGTCATTATATCTAATTGCTATAGGGTATTTCGAGTTAGTCACAGTATTTAGCTAACTATTCATCTGCGAGTTTATCTGTGCTGATGCAGTTACTCGCAGCAATTAACCCTCATAACGGTCAACCGCACAGCCAGCTGAAAACCTATTGTGTATTGATATACTGACAGAGGGAGAGGGAGAGTGAAGAGAGGGGAGTGAGAGGAGTGAGATGTGGTGATACAGATAGGGATGGCAAGCGGTAGGGAGGGGGAGAGGTGCAGTAGTTGCTGTAGTATGCATCCATCTCACCTCGTTTGGCTTGTTGAGCAAACAAAGCCCGTGACCCGTTCGCAATGCGTCAATGTAGTCCTTTTTGCTGCATTCAGAGAATTTGTATGGCTGCACATTCTCTTGGCCGACAATCGATTGTGCCATAATGCAGCCATGCCAGTCCCGACAGAAGCATTCCTCACCTGGATGAATGTGTGAAATTTGCATGAAAACACAATACAATGCAATGCAATGCAATGCAACAGCATCAAAGCGGTTGCAAATTCTTGCAATAATTGAAATTTAAGGCCCAGCGCGCATTGTTATCACATAGATTACGGCTTTACTCCGCTTGACTAAGCAGCCAAATCGATATCAATTAATAATTGAGGCAAGGCGTTAATTGAAACCGATAATAGCATAAGCGGTAAGCGGTAAGCGGTAAGCTTAAGTGACAGCAAAGCATTTATGCCGAATTTAGTTATAATGTGTTATGTTTGCCCTTCTACTTACGTCCATCGTCGTGGCCCATGCCAATATTGTGTCCAATCATGTGGGCCATTGTGCCCGCCAAAAGGTGCGGCTCATACACATTCACATCGACGCTAATGCCGACGGCACGGGGCGTGCAGACAGTCTCCGGCACGGCCATGCCAGCCTCGCCTCCGGCAAATGTTTCCCCTCTGTGGAATTCGTAAAAGCACGTGCATATGCATACAATATAGGGGTGTATATGTATGTGTATGTGTGTGTGTGTGTATGTACACGTGTGTACGTGTGTACTTACGATAACAGCTGGGTGGTATCTCGCTCGATTTGGTATATATTTCTAACCGTATAGTCATTAAAGTTGGATATGGCCTTGCTAATGTCCTTGCTGCCATCAATGACCGCCTGGTTCTTGCCCCACGTCTCGATGTACACCACCGACACACGAGTGTTTAGCGTACGGAAATACTGAGCAGTCAACACACATTATGAGTAATACATATACATATGTGTATGTGTGTGTGTGTGCTTGTGACTTACCAAATCAGCTATATTGGCCACCTGTATAGCATCGTGTATGACCTCGGCGCGCGTGCTGCCGTTGCGCTTCTCAAACATGGCCTTATCCACTATGATGGCCGTCTCAATATATTTGGTCGCCTCGCGCACATCGCGCTTATAGCGCCCGGCCCCATTGGGATGAATCTCATCAACAACGCCAGCGGACAGGTGCTTGGTCCGGCGCGATAAGCGCCACGAGTCCAAATTTCCCGAATTTGCACAGCCTTTGTTCGCTTTAGTGCGCGCCTCAAAAATCACATGCGGATGTTTCTATAGACGTACAGCCATAGCAATTGCATAAATATGACGTTTGTATGTACGTAGCTGCAAATGGCAATCAAGCTAAGCCCTTACCGATAGATCGCCGCCGTAGAACGGATGAATGACAAAGGTCTCGTTGCCGATGTGTATTACGCCGCTGACGCCGTTGCACGTATGAAAGGCTGCACTGGCGCCCGGATAATCCTTCACTGTGCCATGGTAATAACAATGCTCGATGTCCTGCAAGCGAATACAATTTCATAAGTAAATCGATGCGGCTTAGAATACGATACTATAAATAATAATACTTCAGACTATTCACGTTTGCATTGTCCCCACAATAGCCTCATTGAAAATAGAATTTATGACGCATTTGTAGGTAGCACCAAGAATATTTAAATATTTTTCCTTAAGCAAATATGCTAGTCGATCTAACAACGTCCGTTAGAGCTGCTAGAGCAAATGATTTTTGCGATAGATCTATTGATTCTGTGCGATATTCATATATTGTCTCGCAACGTTTGTAAGTAAATGTACTGCCAGGTAAATTTATATTCATCTTCCTGGCTCACCTCTTATTGCTGGAAGCTCTTACACGTGAGCCCGATGTGTAATTTCAATATTAACATAAAGAATAATTATTTCTGTGCCTCATTAGTTTTATGAATATAAATAGTAATTTAATTAAAAGTTGATTGATTTCGTTCCAAGCAAATGATATTTAATTTTATTATTATTTACTTAATATCGATTAATCGATCGATTAATAGAACCTTCGCGTAAAGTCACTATCGATGTTTTTACAGCTTTGCCGGCGTCTATTACATCACTAACCAGAGATCACATAGAACACATAGACCGGACAAGCATTTTGCACACTTTTTTTCGAGCATTACGACCCCAGAGAGCTTTGTATTTGCTCGGCTCCTCCTACGAAAATATACGAAAGCACAATCATTTCGCTTTATGCGCTCAACCGAGATGGGTTCTCTGGTTAGTGGCTGTATTTCGTACCCCTTTTTCAAAAAGCTCGATAGAAAACAAAGAATCTGGTGAATATTTTGAAAATGTTTTTGTATTTGATGTTCATGATTATTAAAGTGCAAGTAATATTGATATTTAGCAAAACAAAGGAAAGGCATATGCGCAAACCCTGGCGATCTGTTGCATACGATATTCGTATACCTATACTAAATCAACTGCAATGTACCAATGCACTCAAAAATAACAGAACAAACGGACCTATTTCACCCATCCAACGTCCATACTCGTTTCGAATAGCCAAGTATTCGATGCTGGGGCACTGGGGTACATAGATCCAATTCTTGGCTATGCGAAACAAATACGTACAGCTGGTACGGCTGCGATGCTCCGAATGTTGACGCTAAGCTTCAAAATTACACGGTAAACAAATTTCGCAATTCTCAGATCCGGTTAACTACTACGTTATACAAATTTGGGCGTGGTAAATTGATTGTAGGAACCGTGGTCCAACGATTACACTTTGCATTCTGGTGAATTGGACCCGCCGCGGCAGCTGTATGATATTCGACTTGAATTTTGAAATTTAAACTGTTATTTTTGTAGTTGTTGTTGTTGTTGTTGTTGTTATGGTTGCTGTTAGTGCGATTGCTGTTGAGACTATATAGAGTTGGACCATATAATCGAGTTGATTCATCACTATATGATTTTGCATCTGATGGTGTTTGTCGTTGATTTCGCTAATCCCAGTGCTGCGTGCACCTATAAAAATAGACAATCGGCTGCCCTCTCCAGGTCCCAATTCTCTTTGGAGAGCACAGCGCGCGCCTTATGCTCATCGATGCCCATATCCTTGAGGCGTTGAATCTTGAGATCCAATTCGGGAAACGAACGCGTGCCACCCGCATACGCACTGGTCCAGTGCTTGGCCGTTAGCAGGAATATATCCTGACGCTGCTTAAATTGCAAGGCAACCACAAAATCCTGCCAGTCATCCGGCTCGGCCACACTGAGCATGCCCTGCAGCGACAACAGCACGGTCCTCAGCGTCATGGCCGCGGCCCAGTGATCCTTCAGAATGTCCATGCGTATGGCGCCAGTTACCGACGAGACATTCGGATGCCAGATGCGTGTGATGAAACGTACCTCGGGTGGACTAAATGGATATCCCTCGGGCACCTTGATTTCCAGCACAAATCTGCCGCCCTCATAGGGCGTGCCGCGCGGCCCGGCTATCTCGCCACGCAGCTCAGTCCAGTTATCGTTGACCAGCTCCATCTTGATATGGCACTGGCGGAACTCTTCGCCACTGAGCGCCTCCTTGAACTCGCGCTTCACACGTGCCTCAGCCATGCTTGTCATATTGTGCTTGTCTTGTCTCTTCGGGTTAGTCTTATTTATAATTTCCTCTTTCAAGGATTTTGCTTTACTTTTAGTTTTAATTATTTTTTTTTTGGGTTTTTATTTTGTGTTTTCTCTATGTGTTGATATACGAAACGCTTCAGTTTTTATACTACTACCGGAAACGACTACTAGATTCGTCCCCAAAAAGCAAACAAACTGGAAATCAATAGAGCTCTCGGTTACTTACATGTCGATTGCCATCCACCTGATATCCACTAACGTGATAGTGCTTCTGCTGTATGTTGGGTGAAAGTAGTTGACTATATAAGAAGAGAGAGTGAGACAGAGAGAGAGAGAGAGAGAGAGAGAGAGAGAGGGTAGCAGAAGAAATGTAATGCGAAAGATCTGAAAGAGTCGTCATAGAGTCTTCTACTCACGAGTTCAATTCCAAATCCAATCGGAATTTGTGATTAAATGCCTTGATCAGCAATGAGGTGCGATGAAAATGTTTCTGAAATGGAATATAAATTACGTTTTCAACTTCTGACATTCGCATTATTAAGAGAAATCTGTGCAAGACACTAAAAGTGCTCGTTTAATCAAAGCACTCAACATTAATGCGAGCTGAAGTTGACATTTTTCTTTTGAGCATGCGAAATGAATTCCAATTAGTCATCTGATTGGATTTCAGTGCATGTAGAGATTTATGTAAATATTTAAATTTTTTGCACATTGGCACACACCTTTGTCCTGCCTCTGCTGAAGCCGCTGTCGTCGTGTGGGCGTGGTCGCTGGCCCGGCTAAAAACATATAAAAACACATAATACTTGAACGCCTATGAATCGACATTTGGTTCTCACAGCACACCGACCACAATAAGTGCAATGATAAATATGATTATATAATATTCAATTACAGTTTCTAAACATCATCCGTCTAGTGTATAAAGTTTTGACAGTGTGCAAGAAGAAAAAAATAAACAAACAAACTTGGACTGTGGCCAAGGTTCTCCTCCAAAGGTATTTCAATGAGAAACCTTTGCTCTGTTTTATTTTATTTTAT